ACACACCAGGGATTGAATCCAGGAGCACTCAACCATTCAGTCACATAGGGACAGAAAGTAGAATGCAGCTGCCAGGACTAGGGGAGGAGAGGAGGGGAGAGGGTGTTTGTAATGGTGACAAATGTCTGTTTGGGAAGATTAAAGCTGGAGGGTGTCGATGGTCACATCACCTTGTGAGCATACTTAACGTGATGACATATACATCTAGAAGGGGTTTAAATGACACATCATGCATCTATGCATTTGACCATGATATTTTAAAATGTTGAAGGCTATATAAGGAAGATATGGCAGGGGTGACCATGCCCTGTGCCCGAAGGCGGCCTCTCCTCAGTGACATGGCTGTTTCCACAGCAACGTGACCATCACTGGCTGCTCCCTGGAGTCCCCAGGGTCTGGACCAGCCACACATCCCAAAGCACAAGCTCCCGAGACTCCTTGCCTCTGACCTGGCGTGGGACCTCTCCTCCTAGTGTTAGATCCTACGCGAGGGTCTCAGGGGAAGGGAAGGCCTGACAGACCCAGCCTCCCAGCTGAAGGAGAGTCCCCACCTGGTGGCCACTCCTCCCAGTCCCCTGGCCAGGCCTCCACCTAGGGCTCTACCTCTCTGCTGGCGTCTCCACGTCTTCTCTCTGAGTTCTGCTCAATTTCTTGGTGCATTTGCCCCTTGGCCCTCTGCTCAGCCCAGCCTCTGCCCCTCGTCTCTCCTGATTACTCAGGGCTTCTGCTGCCTCCTGGCCTCTGACCAGCGGATCTGCCACCCACTGGTAGTTCGTCTTGCACTCCAGTGGCCTTGTGGCTTGGCCCTGCGCCTGTGTGCATGGCGCCTGCTCCTGAGTTGCCCAAAGCCCTCGCCAGTCCAACGGGCGGCTCTCTGCATATGAGTTCGCTGACCTTTCCTTGTCCGGTGTCAGCCCTAAACCCGTCCCAGCCCACAGCCCTGATCACTGTGGTGGAGATGGCCTGCTAACGCGGCTTTCCAGGACCTGCTCTGCAGGGCTGTGCTTGGGAACGCTCTCACCAGGGTCTTCGTCCTCACAGCAGGGGCCTTGCCCATCTGCACTCCTCCAGCTGGCGCTCCTCGGGCATTCTTCAGTCCCCCCAACCCCGGGGCTTTCCCTGCTCTCTGGGTGCTAACCTCGCTCTCTCCTCTCACCGAGGACCAGGGACTGTGTCTGTGCAGGGTTGGGGGCACAGCACCTCATGCACATGGCAGAGCGGTCATTCACTCATGGCCAGGACACAGGAGATGGGGGGTGGCCCCCAAGCCCCCCCCCCCCCCCCCCCCGAAAGCATGCTCCCCTCCCCCAGGTCCTCCTAAAGGGTCCGTGACTTCCCAACACCAGCAAGCTGAGGACCATGCCTTTAACGCACCGGCATTCCAGATCTGATCTGTGGCACAGCTGGTGCTGGGCGGTGAGAGACACGCCTACGTGATCAGGCTCCACCTGAACCAACTGCCTTCCTAGTGCCATCCTCCCCTGCTGAGTACACCCTCAGGTCTTTCTTTTTTTGGGGGGGCGGAAAGTATCAGGAATAGAACTCAGAGGCACTCGACCACGGAGCCCCATCCCCAGCCTTATTTTATATTTCATTTAGCAACAGGGTCTCACTGCGTTGCTTAGCACCTGGATGTTACCGAGGCTGGCTTTGAACTCATGATCCTCCTGCCTCAGGCTCCTGAGCCTCTGGGATTACAGGCGTGCGCCATCACACAGGGCTACCTTCAGGTCCTTCTGTGTGGGCTTTCTGGCTCCTCTGATGGCTTGTACCCGAAGCCCTGTGGGGAAGGGTGACTATCTCACAGAGGCAACAGTTGGCATGGCCAGCCGTGCTCCAGATGAGACAAGGCTCAGTGCTGGAGCCCCGAGGGCGCCAGCTCTGCCAACACAGACTTTAGGAGTCGCCTGCTGGTGCAGATTCTAATTTTTGAATCCCAGATGCTGAGCAGGAGGAGCCTTGGATTTGTGTCCTGACAGGCTCCGTGGACACGACGCTGTTCCAGCCCCAGCCCCAGCCCCAGCCCCAGCCCCAGCTGCGTTTCAGAGCTGCCAGCTCCACTGGTTTCTGACCAGCTTCTATGGGGCTCTGGAGAAGTGGGCTTCGCCTTGCTGAATGGAGCTCTCCCTGGTAAAGGGGCCTGCCCTCAGCAGCGGCTCACAGTGGGAGTGGCCGGCACTCCCAGCCTCCCCCAGGAGCATCTGACACAGGGGCATGGCTCCAAGCTACACCCCCAGCATGCCCCTGTCACCAAATAAGTGATGCTGCCTGACCTCGAGGTCACCGCATGGGGCAGAAACCCTGGGACTGACCTCATCCTTGGACTCCCTTGCTCACTTGTTGGCAGGAAGATGTGGTTACTCAGGCTGAAGTGAGCAGGGGTCTGTTTGGGGGCCTCCTTGCACAATCAGGCACTCCCTGTGTTCCATGTCACGTGAACCCTGGGCATGCTCCAAACTCCAAGCAAGCGCATTGGCCCCTGCCAAGGCCCTGCGCCCGCCCATGCACTCACCTTCACCCGGTCCATGCAGGCCTCCATCTTCAGCTGCTCCACAGCTCGCCGGGCCTGGGAGATGCTGGTGGTGCTGTTGTTGGACGTGGACATGCCCTCCTTCATCCTGCTTCCCTGGAAGCAAGCACAGGGGAGGTCTGGAGGCTGCTCTCTCAGCCTCCCTGCCTCCCCGCCTCCCACCACAAACCGACCCTGGGCAGAGAGGGGAATGCTCAGGACAGCAAGGACAGCGGGACGCTGTGATGAACCCCTGGTTAGAGCGTCACCACCAGTAAGACCTGGAAGTATGTTGGAAGTCAGTAATCGACACACCTGTTTGCTGACTTGGCAAGACAGTGCTCATTTTTGTTTTGTTAAAAAAAAAAAGTGCAAAAATCAGAGAAATGAAGCCAATAGCCAGAAGTTCCAGAGATCAGTGTGTGAACCCAGGACCCGGACTCCAGGCTTTGCAGGCTGGCTGAGGGTCTCCCCTGGCTCACACGGCTCGTAGGCGCTTCTGAGGGGAAACTGCTTTGCTATAGATTTTAGATTGTTGTCACTCCAAGAGGCTCACAGACCTCAGGTCGGGAGCCTGTTTCTAAATAACCTCACCCATACTCTGTCCCAAGCATAGCTTTGCTGTTCTAGAGGGGGAAGAAATTCTCCTGGTCTGTCCCATAAAGATGACAGTGACTAAGACGAGACCCTGTAATGCCAACAGTCCCACCATGAGTGTCTGCCTGGCACAGATCAGTTACTCCGCCCATGAGAGGCAAAGATTAAGGTCTGAGCATGGAGGACGGTCACTGCAAACAGATGCCCAAGGGACCTGGTGGAGGGTTTTCATGGGGCCTCTGATGGGCTGCACCTGTGGCTCCGACCCAGGAAGCACAGAGCTGGGGTGGCGCCAGGGCACTGCTTCCTTCCCCAGGGCTGCTGGTCTGACTCACGGGGCCCCCTACTGGGGCTGTGGAAGAGTGGAGGCCAACACCCCTCATCAGGCTCAGGCTCAGTAGTGGCCTGCGGCTGTGTGCTTGGAGGAAGAAGCTGGTCTTGCTGAAAGCATTATCCCCACCCTGCTCCTGAGCGAACCAGGACAAGACAGGTCACTGTCTTACCTGCTGAGAGATGGCACAGTGAGAGGCCTGGGCAGGGGACGCAGGCTGGTGGTGGCAGCAGTCAGTCGTCAGCTGGAGGCTGACTCAGGGCTCTGGCCTTGGGGCTCACCTGGAAGCACAACCAGAGGTGTGTGTAGAGGCTCAGGGAAGCCTCCTTGCTGGGTCCCGGTGTCCCCACTGGGTCCCGGTGTCCCCACTGTCCTGGTCCCATGGTGTCTCGCTCCCAAGCTCAGCAGCTTCCCTGTGAGCCCGGGGACTCTCAGATCAACCCTCCAGGAGACTGTGGGCTAAAGGCAGAGAGAGAACCCCTGAGAGGACACAACAGACTGGGACTCCATCTGCAGGACAAGGCCACTGGGGCCTCACCAGACCGCCCACGGCCCATCCACCTGTCCTGTTCCTCTGCCCGTCACTCCAAGGTCTAGCTCTAGCAGCTGCTGATAAGCGGAAGCAGTTCACAAGGTCTGTTCTTACTATACAAATACACGTCCAGTGTAGGAAAATAAAATCACAACAAAGAAGATAAAGACCCAGCTCAATTCTATGTCCTAGAGACAATTCTGCCTATGGTGTTGGTGACTATCATTCTTATACAACTTGATTTCAGCCACAGCGCACTTAGCATGGAGGTGGGACAAAGTCAGGTGACTTCAAAGGTCTTCACAGAGGGACAAATGTCCATGTCTGCCTCCCTCCTTGACAGAGCCACCCCAGGATGGACAACACTCAGATGATGGGCTTGTTCCCAAGTGCCACTAGGTGCCCTGCTCAGCTGCGTTCACTCCAGGGATCTGGAGGAACTTGCCACAAAAACAAAGGACCTGGCTGGAGCCAGGGACCAGGCAGCCACCCAGGCTCCAAGCGCCTGAAACTTGGGTTCTGAAAACATACAGCAGGAAGGTTTCCAAGAGCATTGTCAGCAAGTGAAGGGACTGGGGTCCTCCACTGGCCAAGGAGAGGGGACAGAATAGAGGGGGCCACCGTCGATGACACAAAAGCTGAGTAACTTCCAGGAGCACAGGTGCTCCTCTATGGGAAGTTCTCACCGCAGGTTGTACTACAGCCAGGGGTGACCTTAGCCCCTTGTGAAGGGTGAGGTGCAAGGAGATTAGATCTACATAGGAAGGTGCCTCTCACAAGAGCCACAGCTCTGGTGACAGCCACGCGGGCCCTCAACAGGAGTCTGCCTTAGTCCATTCAGGCGGCTGCCATAAGATGCCATAGATTCGGTAGCTTTTTTTTTTTTTTTTCTTTAGGTACCAGGGATTGAACCCAGGGATGCTTAACCACGGAGTCATATCCCCAGCCCTTTTAATGTTTTATTTAGAGACAGGGCCTCTCTGAGTTTCTCAGGCCCTCGCTAAGTTGCTGAGGCTGGCTCTGAACTCAAAATCCTCCTGCCTCAGCTTCCCAAGCCATTGGGTTTACAGGTGGGCACCACGGTGCCTGACCGATTTGGTAGCTTTTAAACAACAGAAATGTCTTTCTCACAGTTGTGGAGGCTAGGAAATCCAAGATTGGGATGCCATCACAGGTGGGTTCCAGCAGGTCCCCTATCTGAGCCCACCACCTGCCAGCTCCTTGCTCGATACTTATGGGCAAAAAGCAGCCCCTTGTGTAAGGCACAAGCCACTCGTCAGGGATGAACCCTGTGACCGTTGCCTCCAATGCTACAGACCTTAAATGCTTTGCATTGAGGGTCGACTCTAACTTATGAACGGTGTGCGACAAACATTCAGACAATAGCAACGGCCCAAACTCCAGAGTGGTTTCTACATCAGGAACTTAAGGTTTCTTCCTAGCTACTCCCAGTTCTCATGTAATTTACCAATGGGACACATCTTTACCATAAGAAATGTTGCCTAGCAACACAGTTAATCTCATCAGGGTTCCTGAGGGGTGACAGCCTTCCCCCAAATGTCTGTGACCCAACCCAGGAACCGGCAAACCAGTTAAGCTCCATGATGAGGAGGAACTAAGGTAGCAGTTGGGTGAAGATGGCAGATCAGCTGACCCTCTTAAGGTGGGCAGGGTATTGTGAATCATGTGGGTAGGCCCACTGTAATCACGATTGTCCTTAAAAGTGAAAGAGGGAAGCACGAGACTTGGTGTCAGAGAGAAAAAAAGCTGTGACACTGCTGGCCCTAAAGGAGGGGGATCCCAGGACATGAGCAGCCTCTGGAAGCTGGAAAGAGCAAGCAAAAGCGTCTCCCCTGGAGCCTCCAGAAAGAGCACAGCTCTACCACACCTTGGGGTCAGCCCCCGACATCCCATTTGAACTTCTGACCTCTAGAACTGTAAGGTAATCAATTTGTGTTGTTTTAGGTCACCAGATGTTTGGTGGTTTGTGACAGCAGCAATCCAGGGTAACAGAGGAAGTTGGCTCACGTGTTGTCTTTTCTTGCAGTGGGGGGAGGAAGGGTTGTGAGCCGTCTCCCTAATCAGGTGTCCAGGGCTGGCCCCTTGCTCCTTCTCAGCCTCATCTCTGGTGCCCCCACCTTTCATCTGCCACAGGCATGCTGGACTACTGTAACCTCCAGACTTACTTGGGCCCTATTCTTGCCTTTCATTTCTTAGACCAACCCCATCTGGTTGGTGATGATGTCTTGCCCCTTTTGTGCATAACTGGGCACAGTTTTTTAATATTCTGTTGAGGACTTCTGTGTATGTTCATGAGGAATATTGGTCTGCAGCTTTCTTACAATGTTTTTAAGGGGGTTTGGTATCAGAAAAATTCTGGCCTCATTTGGGATATGTTTCTTCATCTTCCAATTATTTGGAAAATTTGGATGGAATTAGAATTAGTCTCATTTCTTCCTTAAATGTTTGGTAAAAATTCCCCGGTGAAGTCACCTAGGACTAGAGTTTTCTTTGTAAAATGTTTTTAACTACGAATTCACTTGTGTTAGTAGAAATAGGACTATTCAATTTTCCTCTTTCTTCTTGTGATAAGTCTGATTGTTGTCTATTCCATGGAATTTGTCCATTTCATCTAGCTATTGAATTCATGTAATGTTTTTGAAAATATTCTTTTTATGTATGTAGGGTCTGTGGTGCTGTTTCCTCTTTCATTCCTGATACTGATAATCTGTCTTCTCTCTTTCTTGGTCAATCTGGCTATGGGTCAAAGAACTAGCTGTAGGTTTCATTTGTCTGTCCTTAATTTCACTGATTTCTGTTCTTATCTTTATTAGTTCCTCTCTCTCTGCTTACTTTCGGTTTAATTTTTTTTTCTCTCTCTCTTTTTTAAAGTGGAAGATGAAGTTGTTGATTTGAGACCTTTCTTCTTTTCTAAAATAGCATTTAATGGTGAAAATTTCCCCATAAGCACTGAAGCTCACACATTTTGATATCAACTCAAAACATTTCTAGTTTCCTTTGTGATTTCCCCTTTGATACATGGGATGTTCAGGAGTATGTTTTCATATTTGGTTAGGTCAGAGTCTAACCTCGCTTAAGTTTTTAAAGTGTGTACAATTCCCTGCATGTATTACTCAAAGCTTTGAGTGCTGATGTGGATCTTGGATGGATTCTCAAAGTTTTGCTCAGCCGCTTAAGATCTGGCCATGGGCGAGGCTGGGGCTTTTGTGGGTTTTTATAAAAAACGAGATGATCCACTTCTCCCACTCTCTCTCTCCCCCAGGACTCCTCCCACACTCTCCAGTTCACAAGAGCCCCTTTCCCTGTTTTCTTTGCTGGAAGACAGGGTTTATCTTGGAGATATGGCCCTCGGTGCTGCCACCACTAAGTTCTGTACCTGGAGCCTGCCCTTGGGGCAAGGCTATGGGAGAAAGGAGAAAAGGGGAAAAATGACCACAAGGGCTCCCTTCCCGGGTTCTCTGGCCAGAAATGAGGGTTTCTATGGATGCACTAGCTGTCTACACTGCCGTTCTGCTCCTGGCCCATTCTCAGGCAACAGCACAAGAGTAAGGGGAAAACGGGAAGAAGCGCTTCTCCGTTAGGGTCACTTCTCAAGTTTCTCTTCTACAATCCACATGTTTTTTTTTT